TTTAATAATAGAGGAGCCTCATCAGAAGCCAATCAGACATGAAGACATGGCAGAGGAATTATAACCAGGCCGACTGGGAAGTCATGAATTATTGAAAATTGGCCTGTTCTTTTTCAAGTTGGAGGTTTCTGCCTGACAGCACTGATTGGCCACACACGCACACACCTGTCGATCTTCATTCTGTTTTGTTAGGAGAAACCTGGCAGCTGGTATGTGTTTGTGCTGTGTAGTCTGTCTGTCTGTGGCAGCTCAACTGATAACTAACCCATGGAGATCAAGCCAGAGCACTGTACAAACAGGGAACGGGCTGTGCCTGTGTTTGTGTATTTTCAAGTATGTGTTTATGTTGTTGAAAGGACTTGCTCGATAAAAAAAAGTATTTGGACACCTGAGCCAAACTTAAAAGTGAATGAGTGTCATTGCATTATTTAACAAAATAGCAAAGCACTTTGCTATTATTTTAAAGGAAGATAGCACAAGCACACTTCTCAAGAAATGCATTAGGTTTTGTTATTAATTATTTATTATTTAATGATTCATTATTATTTTTTAAACAATGATTCAATAAAAATAATAATAATACATATATTATTGTTGTTGTTGTTGTTATAACAATAAAATAAAATAAAGAATTTACAATAAAGTTCCAAATCCAAAAACATCAATCCAATAGTAAACAAACAGTGCGTCTATTTTAATAATAATAATAATAATAATAATAATAATTAATTCTAAAACAAATAAGTATTGTAAAACTATATATGCACTGTCCAAAATAATACTAAATAATAATAATAATCTTAATTGTTTTTGTTGTTATTTTAAACAATAGATACACTATACACACACAATATACAAAAAAATACAATTATGTAAAACTAATTTTTTTAAAACAATATATGCACTGTTCAAAATTAATAAAATAAAAAATGGTATTTAACAACAACTATAAAAATTCTTGTTGTTGTTGTTATTATTATTATTATTATTATTACATTGTTTTATCTTAAAACAATATATACACTGTTTAAAATTCAATTTGGTCTGAACTTGAGAAACGCTGACTACCTACATTCACGATAAAAATTACTTTGGTACTAGTAAGCAACTGCAAAACCGGCTAATATAAACTAAGGAACTGGATTGTAGCTTAATTCATCTGCCGATGCCACTTGATTTGATATTTTGCATCTAATGCAGTGACATTCATACATGCCTCTATTTCACTTAAGAGTTCAAATACTTTGGAGCCACTGCATATTTGTCTTTGAAGGTTTTCATGAGACTATGAGTGTTATTTCTGTGTTGCACGTTAACTGGTCTGCCACAGTACAGTGTCATACTGCAGTGGGATTGATTTTGTTCTTGTCTACAGCAGACATGCATAGTAGCTGGATCAGAGTTGATAGCTTGGTTTAAACAACCAGTGTGCCTCCAATATTGACATTCACTGTAAATAAGTGATCACCAATCTGTTGCTGATGTTTCTGTCACGCACACACACACACACACACACACACAGACAGACAGACAGACAGCAGGTTTTTCAGCCTGATTGCATGACCTCTCACATTGACATGCATTTATTTCTTTCACATACACACACAGACACACGCACGGATTGAGCCACTGGGACGGCTGGTGTTAGCGAAGACACTACACGTTTCTCGGCTGTAGATCCGGGCAGGGACGGAGAACATCTCACATCAAACTATTTCTAATCAAACCCACGAAAGTGTAGCTAATGCAATTTCACTAAGTCATTGGCTGGCTTGATTACATGGGGGCTGACATGAGTGGGAGGTGTGCGTGCATGCTCAGTCACACACTTTTCACTCATCAAGACTGACTTACACAATATGTGCACTTTCTTGTAAGTCGCTTTGGTTAGAGAGCATCTGTCAAGAATAGAAATGTAAATTTGATGTAAAGGCGCATACGCACCCTCACTCCAATCCTAGATTAGCGACATTCACGGGGGCCAGGCTATAACACCTCTCATACGCACTTGCACGATCTTATGCACACATAGATTATAAAAGGAAACACACTTCAGCATAATAATAAACCGCCAACAAATGTGGAGGCACATCATAATAAACTGGACCAGCTAACTTGTCGCCATTTGTTCACATTTGTTTATTTTTTGACTGGTAAAATATTGAAATAACATGTTAAACTGTTGTGAATGATTGTTTAGATTTAACATAGCAGATGTTGGCCTGTTGCTTTTCCAATCAAAGTCTGTTGTGTTGACAACATTTTAATGGACCTTCATTAATATGACCTGCAAGGATCTGAATAATGATTAATTATTACTGAATAATTACAAGCCAGGCTGGCAACTGATAACATTTTCTCCTCTGTCTTTGCCATTAAATGACACTGCACAATCTGGATTTGTAACTCTTTGACCTGCTGGCTATCACAGCTTTTATTTATGTGTTTTTAATTAGTGCTCAACTGTTTGGGGTTTTTTAATGGCTCATACTGATATCTAGAGGGCAAGGTGGTATATGATACAATTTAATGATAACAAATGAAAGACACAAAATTGTACAAATTAAATGAACATTGTTTTTCACAATATTTACTCAAATTTAATTAAAAATATTTAAAAACAATAAGCAGAGTTTTTTTTTTCAGCTGATGCAATCTTTTATTTTTAGCAATATTTTTTATATATTTTCATGAAACATTTTCTTTAATATTATTATTATTATTATTACTGCTACTACCCCTACTACTACCCCTACCTTATTATATTATTATACAATATATATATTTTTTTTTATTACAAATAATACTCTTACATTTTTAATTAAAATAATAACTGGAAATATTACAGCTATATTGTAACTTTTGACCACTATAAACTTCAAAGACTTCTGGTGGGAAACTATGGCATATGCTGCAAAACATTTTGTTTATAATTTAAAACCGATTCATTCTCACAATTTTTGTGGACAAATGCTCTCACTATTTTCAGTTGATTTCTACCTATTTCCTCCCTTAAATTGTTGAACTTATGCATTTTTATCATACGACTGTTGTTGTAACAGTTCTGTCCTCTGTCTCTCACTGTGTTTTTCTCTCCCGTCGCCACTTGTCTATAGGTCAGAGTCAGCATGTGCGGTGGCAGCTGTGTTTTCTTGTTTTGCTGTTGTAATTGAGTCTTAATTGGATTAGCGGGAGAGAGATTGGATATATTGAGAGTAAAAGAGAAACAGAAAGCTAAGGAAGACAAAGATAAGTTCCCTTTCCAGAGCAACAACTTTGAAAAACAGAGCTCCAACCAGAAAGCTTTTAGAGAGGATAAAGAATCCTCTTGTCTTTTTAATGAGAAAAAGGGGTGGAAATGAAATAAGAGCGAGGGAGCTTTTCATCAAAACGTGTTCCATGAAGAATCTCAGGAAGGTGGAAATGACAAGAACAGCAGCGGGAGGTGCGTTTGAATGCTGGACAGGTGCGCTGCAGGATTTTTAGTGCAGTGAAAGGTGAACCCATTTCTCATTTGACGCATGTCTTGTCTCTCAAAACAATGAACACAGGATGACTCTGATTCCAGTTTTGCGATTAAACCCACACCAGTGGGTCTGAGATCACAACGTTGGAGACAAATCATACAAGCACACTCTTTTGCTTCACTTGTAATTCCACAGCAGTCCAAATCCATCACACACGTGCTTTATGTGCGTCTGGCATTAATATTTGTGTTCCCGGGCCTGGACTCATTTCCCATCCCTTGGGCAAGAAATCTCATGTAACAACTGACTGATAAAAGAAATTAAAGTGATTCTCCACTGAGGACTTGTGTGTGTGTGTGTGTGATGTGCACATAAGTGTCTCAGATGTGTGTGTGTTTCCTGCATGGTGTTTGTCAGGATAGCAGTGCCCAGGCTTAGTGCTACGTAGTTGCAGCAGTCTCTCCAGTGGCAATCTCAAAGGGCTGTGAAATTTTAATGAATAACATTGTCACAGTGCGAGAGAAATGCCAGTAGGCTGACGCCTTGGCACTTCTATTCACCGACCCATGAGGCCACGCACACACCTTCTGTCCACCCAGGAATGTTCTTATTGATGGCAGACTTGATTCTCTTGCAGTCAATTATATTGATTACTTGTGGATGAGTGGCGCTAATAAGAATTGGAGCTCACTTCATTTTTTTGGGCCCTGCCTCATCATGAGAGAGTTACACAGCTATGATTTTCTTATTAACCCTGTTAGCGCAGGACTACGCACATACACAGAGGGGCAAATAGGAGAGAGAGGAGGGGGAGTCTTGTATCTCTGGCTTGTGGTAAATTGCAATGATTTGACAAAATTACTTTTTTGATGGTTGACCACAATATTTTATTCTTTGCTTTGCTTTGCTTTGCTTTGTTTTTTGTTTTGAATTTTTTTGTGTGGCTTTTTTGTTTTGCTTTGCTTAGCTTTTGTTTATGTTATTGTTTTGTGCTTTGCTTTTGCTTTATGTTTTGTCTTGTTTTTAGATTTTTGTTTTGCTTTTTTTCTTTTTGTTTTGTTTTGTGCTTTGCTTTTGCTTTTTGGATTTTTTTCTTTTCTTTTTGTTTTGTTTAGTTTTTAGTTTTTTTGTGCTTCGCTTTTGCTTTTTGGATTTTTTTCCCCTTTTTGTTAAATTTTTTGTTTTGTTTTAGTTTTTTGCTTTGCTTTGCTTTCTGGCATTTAGCAGTCCAATATTTTTGTGTGATGACTGCTAAACTGTATTTTATCATCGTCCATGGAAACCATAAGTGTGCTGCTCCTTTGACCAATGTGATGCGTTTCACTTTATCTTTTAGCGTTTTGAGCCATGAGCACTGTTTTAAAGGCACAGTTTCAACTTTAATGAAGTTTAATTTCTAAAAAATGTTTCTCAAAACACCTGCATTCTGTTGTATTTTGTCACTCTGTGTAACGGAGTAAAGGGTCCATATAAAAACATAGTATTTTGGAAGAAAATCTGTTTAATCGTTTCTTCCTGTGTATTTCTATCCAGGTGGAGCTGATGATAACCTGATTGAGGGAGGAGAGACTAAGTTCCTGTGTAAACCAGGAGCCAGAAACATTACGGTCATCTTTCAGCCATTGCTTAGGTAGGTCCTGTTCACAAATACATGTCAGCCGAACATGCTTTATAAAGCTGCATTTCAGCAAGCTGTTTAAACTCTCCCCTGCTTCATCTGTCTCCTCGGCCATAGCATGTGATCTTTTTTTTCCCCCTTCCTTTCATATTTTTCATTGGCCGGCAGCTATTACCGCATCGTTTCCGAGCCCCTACCATTGATTTTGATTTGTTCTGACGGTATCAATTGGAGCGTTCCGTTTAGAACCGCTCCGCTTTCAATTTTCCTTTCAATCTCCTAATCTATTGGATCATCGGTCCAGCCCACTAATGCACTGTCATATTACCGCTATAATACAGAGACATATCACAAGCATGGTCGTCCTGCCCACAACGTGACCGGACTTCCCGATACTCCTATTGCTCGCAATTACATCTGTGCCACAGTGCATTGATTTTCCATTGTTTTTTTTTTCCCCCAGACATGGTCACTGTCACTGTCAGATGGCTTGATGCTATTTTGTCCTGGATGTAACACCCTTCTCAAACGCTCTTTTAAAAGACCTGTTGGTGTTAATGCAAGCTGTGGATGTACAGCTCGCATTGCTATACCACATGTGAATAGAAAGCAGATTTTCTGTCAAATTATATTATTCTAGACATTTCAACCCATGGTAAGTCAAGCAACACTATTATAGTAGCATTTAAACCTTTAACCCTAATTAGTATTTAACCCTATATTAATAATAAGCTTAAGAATGTGACTTGAACAAGAATGATGTCTTAAATCGTGTGGCTTGTTTAGAAGAGGTGTGTGAATGGGTTTCTAAGTGTTTAAAGTGTTCGATCCATATCTAGTGACTTTCGGCTATGCAGTCAATTAGCAACTGCATAGAATTGTGGCGGTGAGTTTTGCACAGGTATCAATCACATATTCTTGAGAAAAATTAATTTGCTAGCAGAGGTTTAGCTCTGATCATCATTGTTAATCTGAGCACAAAAGTGTCTAATTTGTCAGTTTTGTCATAATGGTACCAAATCACTGCTTGTTGTCTTTTCAGCTCGACTGCTTCTCAGGTCTGTCCTCATTATTTTACGTATCAGTCACCACAATAGTCATGAACTTATGTTGAGTTTACCAAACTTTCCTAGCAACAAGTGCATAATATCCCCATTTAGTCCATTACAAAACGTATATTTCAGGATATGAATGCGTCAACTCTGTTGCTAACAGTCATTTGGGGAAAATACATCTTTTGGCCTGCTGTGATTCTGGCTCGATCGCGAACGTTGCAGATATTTTACAGTACGCCCACTATGAGGAGGAGGCACCTGCTGCACACTGATGTATTCTAGCCGTGTTCATTAATCTAAATGAGCTGCTCTCAGTGGTCATGTGAGCAATGCGACAGCAGCAGGGGATGGGCAGAGGGCGTGTCAGACAGCTGTCCGTCTGAGATGAATGGCAGGCGGATCATCGCTCCGACAGTACAGCTCATCTGGTCCCTGCTGAGGTGACGGACCGAACAAATGAATGCATGAATAAACGAGTGACTGCTCTCCACCTTTTGCCTGCCGCCACATAATGGCTGCTATCACTCATAGTCCTCTGCGAGGAGCCTGATGTGTGGCCGCCTGTCCTTGGCTGCGTTCGGTGTGCTTAATGCTTTGCTGCACTGATACACGTTCAAACCTATGAGGACTGTCATTTCTGGAGAAAGATCCATCTTTGCTTTTGGATGTAGTTTCAGACAGTTTTTTTGTGTGTCTGTATATCGCATCTGATTTATCAGTCATTGTCAGAATCATATTTTTTAGCTTTTGATTTATTTTAGTCTAAAAAATATTTTATTATTTAATTTCATATTTCAGATATTTAATTATTTAATTTTAAGTTTACTCTAACTAAAATGACATGTTTTGGTTGATGGAAGTAGCATTTTAATTTACAATATGTAAAATGAGGAACATTTGGACTAAAACAGGAAAACAGACTAGACTTGAACTTTTTTTGTCCTTTTTGAAAATTGTAAACGTATTATGATACATATTTTGCACTCTTATTTTTCTCATCATAATTTCTTCAGCAGTGTTTAAGACAGAGTTATTATTAACTAAAACTAAAACAGAAACTAAGATTAAAACCATTAAAAATTGTTACTTGAAATAAAATAAATGAAATTAAAATATGTTGCCAAGGAAACATTTCTCATTTTAATTCAGTTTAACTATGTACTACACAATAAAATTATTAAAACTTTAACTAAAATGAAAAAGGAAACTAAAAAATGATTCAGAATATTAGTAAAAGCTATAAGAATTACACCGTTATAAGTGAATACTGTTACATTTGTATACATTTTGTAAAATGTGTAAAAAAATATATTCTAAGCATATTTTGCACACCAAACATTTTAACCTTTTTTATAAATTGTTGAAAAATATAAACATATTATAAAAAAAAAAATCTGTAATTTTTTTCACATAATTTCTTCAGCAGTATTTAAAAGACCAAACTTTTTAATAGATTTTATAGATTTTTTTTAAAACATGTATGAACATTATAAATATATTATAAACATTAAACTGTATTTTTAGCATATATTTATCAGCATATATTTAGGATATTTTTATATGGTTTTGTCATAAGTGTTTAATTAAAATTGTGGTATGATAATTTAATGATTAGTCATTTCTGGTGCATTTTTGTTATTATTGACAATCATAAGCAATGTCTTTTCTGTGTCATTGTGTCAAAGTCAGCAGACAGAGAAATATATGTCAAATATAAATGAAATAAGTGCAATTTATATGTTGCTTAATTAATTTTGTCAGAATGCACAGCTGCTTTCGAATATACATCAAAGGGAAAAGTAGCTTTTGTCACCAGAAAGCTGTAGTTACAGAGGCTAACTGGACCCCTAACTGACCCCTATATTAAACTCTATGCACCAATCGAAGTCGAACTGTACTCCTGATGCAGGAGTTTGTTTTATCAGTGACCGAGAAGAACCTAAACTTACGCCGAGATCAATACAGGCTCTTAATGTTACTGCCAATCAATTCACCATGCAATTTGTGATCGATAGTCTCTGTGGAAGAGGCTGACGTTGAAGATCTTAGAGGTGTGGACTTGATGCTTTTTGATTGATGCTGGGCAGGAGCAGTCCGAGGAGATCGATAATCCCTTTGGGGAGCTTCACACGTCTCCAGACCCGTTCACTGTATGTTAATATATGGGCTCCGCTTGCACTGTACAGCGAAAGTGCGAAAACACTTTGCCGAGTATCAAATCTCTCCTGATTGATCAATACGGTTGCTCCATAAAGACCGCTTGTGTACGTCTGTGTGTGTTTGTGTACGTTTCTGTTGCTTTCAACTACTTGAATCAGTTTGAAAGTACTCGCAGTGTTTTATGTTAGTCTGTTAGCTGGTGTGTTTTTGAGTGACTGTCTGCCTCACTCACTCATATGTGGGTTTTTATGTTTATGTGGATGTTTGGCTATGCGTGTGAATTGGAGACATGCTTACTACAGCGAGAGGGGAGATGGAACAGGTAGGAGGTAATTTAGTTTGACTTGTGGGGCCTCACACTGACATTTGAGTGGTATTTAAATCCTCCTGCCCTGACTGAGGTTGGCATTTTGAAAAGGGGGCACTCTCGGCTTGCCATAATCTCTCCCCTTGTATGCATCCACGCTCAGAGGTGATTAGGCCTGGCAGGGCCCGGAGTCTGTGAGATCACACCCCGGTCAGAGAGCAGATGTTAGGGCCGCTGGGGTGGGCGGAAGGAGCCGGAACGAGGTATTGGTAGTTGAAATGAAAGTGACATTTGAGAAGTTAAGAAAAACATTGATTGTTAGTTTGATGTGTGTTTGTGTGTCAACATGAATTGGCATTTGAAATCGATATTTGATATTTCAATAATGTGACATAAAGAGAATATTCATGAATATACAAATCTATCATTTAAATTAAATTAAAATATACACGTTAAAATGTATCTTATGCTCACCAAGGCTTCATTTAATCAAAATACTGTACAGTAAAAAAAACAGTAATATTGTGAAATATTTTTACAATTTAAAATAACAGTTTTATATTTTAATGCATTTTAAAATGTAACATTCATTTGATTACTCCAGTCTTCAGTGTCACATGATCCTTCAGATATACAGTGGGTACGGAAAGTATTCAGACCCCCTTAAATTTTTCACTCTTTGTTATATTGCAGCCATTTGTTAAAATCATTTTATTTGATATTTCAATAATGTGACATAAAGAGAATATTCATGAATATACAAATCTATCATTTAAATTAAATTAAAATATACACGTTAAAATGTATCTTATGCTCACCAAGGCTTCATTTAATCAAAATACTGTACAGTAAAAAAAACAGTAATATTGTGAAATATTTTTACAATTTAAAATAACAGTTTTATATTTTAATGCATTTTAAAATGTAACTTATTCATTTGATTACTCCAGTCTTCAGTGTCACATGATCCTTCAGATATATTAATATGCTGATTTGGTGCTTCAAAAGTTCAGAATAACAATTTATTTGAAATTTTGTAAAATGTTTTGTAATGATGTAAAAGTCTTTACTGTCGCATTTAATGCATCCTTGCTAAATTAAAGTGTAAAAATAATTATTACCAAACACAAACATTCTTATTGTTATTTATCTTTATTACATTTTTTTTTTGAAGAAAACTTTACAAAAACTATTTAACAGCTTTATCAGTGTAAAAAAATTATGTTTGGTATGTCTTTTCTTCCTCTGCCCTGTATTTCTCTCAGTTTTTGCTCTCAGTTTAACAGTTCATCAGTTTCACACTTAGATACAATTGTAGGTAATTGTAAACTCAAACATTTTTTCCCTGTTGTAGCACTTTTATTTTAGTTTGACATCTTTTTCCCCCATCCCTTCTTTTTGATCTCTCTCTTGCTCTCTTTTACAAGGTATCAATTTCTTCAAAGGGATGGGAAAAAGCAATTCTGCAGATCACAGAGGAGGCTATTTGAGAAGTGTCAAAACTTTTAGAGTTCTTGATGGCTGTGTCCAATTTCATGGACAGTTTTGTACTTTTTTTCCACTGGTGGCGTAGCGTTAAACACATTTTCTCCATTATTGTACCAGTTTGACTGTTTGTGAACACAGATAAAACACAATTCTGCTTTTCTATACATTTTACAATAGTCTAAAAATATACTTGTAGTCTAGGTAGCTGGTAGGAGAAGACCTGAAGCAGGACGTTTAAAAAGGTGGGTTACAGTGATGTGATTGGACCATGTCAAAACATCTCCCTTGATGTCTATTGTCTTATGTTGGGAGAAGATGGTGGTAGTTCATCATAAGTTGACAATGTAATCTCATGACTGATTCTTGTGTGGAAGCTAGAATTGTGTGTAGAACCTAAATCCACTATTATACTGTTATTTTAGTTGTTTATACACAGCAAAAATGCATTTTCTTACTACTTTTTTGTTTTGTTATCAAGTAAAAATATCGAAATATTAAAACAAAATGCATTTACTTCAACCAAAAAACAGATAATTATGTATTTTCATAGAATACATCTTGAATTAAGTTCATTTTTCCTATTCCGACTGGCAAATTTGACTGAACTTCATATATTTTTATGCAAAACCTTCATTAAAGTTTATTGACCCTATTCACAT